TTACAGAAAAGGAATTATGTGGGACAAGACGTGAACTTGTATTGAAATTGAAATGTATTGAGTAAGAATCTATTTTTCTTTCTCGTACACTGGAATATGTATACATACTTCTCTTCATTTTAAAGAAACTGTGACTATACTTATCATGTGTGAAGTGCTTTTTCTTAGAGGGTTATTTTTATTCATGTATTCATTTATTCTTGTAATTCTCTCTTCTCTGTAAGTTCAGCTTGTGTTCTGACTAGGCAGCCAAAATAAATAAATAAACAAGCCAAATGAAAAAGGAAATATTGACTGGTTCAAGCCTCTCAAATGTGAATTGTTGTCTTTTATGGTTTTTATGGATTTCTTTGGGTTTTTGACTGTTGATCAGATAAAACAAGACATTCCATGATGTCACCTTGGACTCTGGGAATCAATGAATAATGAAAACATGATTTAGCTGCAGCCCTTGAATAACGTTCTTTTACAGGACACTAGCTGAATTACTTTCATGCATAGGAGGTGGCTCACAAAACATTGCATGTGTTCTAGCATTTAGAATTGAAAACCTTTAAATGCTTGGTTTTCAGGTGTTATTTCTATATTCAAGGCCGAACACCCTCCCACACTCGTATGCCTATCACATGAAATGTTCCCCAGTAGATAATATGACAATCGTCAGCCAATTTGTAACCGAACTTGTCACTCATCGTCTTCATCTGTTCTGCTCGGCTCCACTGAGCTCCGATATTCATGAGTTTACATCAGTCAAGCTGTCTCCATCTGTGCCGGTCCATCTTTACAAGCAGGACAACCAGGCAGTGAGATCTACATCAAACAGAAATACTGCCATGCACTTACAATGTTTAACTGGAGCATGAAATAATCAGGCAGCAGCACTGAACAATACCGAGACTGCCTTTTATTCACATCCACCAAAGGCTACTGCTCACATATTCATCCCTCCACAGTGCCCTTCACATCACTGAGGAATATGAATCACCCAAGTGCTCCTCCTAGCCAGGCCTTTCCTCAGAATGACCATAATAGAAGAGAAAGCCTTGAAACAAAAGGAAGAAAAACAGCAAAGCGTCATGTAATCGGACCCATCCTGATGTTACCTCTCCACATATTGATCCCACAGAGCTGATGGAGACAGGCAAGATGGGAGGAGGAGGAGGAGGGGGGGGGGGGGACGTCCAACCGCATCGCCCTGATATACAGGCCCATCCACCCTTATTCAGCCAGAACTCAGATATTACACATGAAACTCATATTCACATTGAGATTAATGATACATGTGACATTTCAGCAAAACAACTGTTATGAACCATAATTAGTGTTAGGAGCGGGATGGCATGTATCTGGATCGACGCAGCCAGTGTGTATGTGTTAATGTGTGTTAGTGTGTGTGTGTGTGTGTGCGGGAGGATTTTGCTCAGTCGTGCAGCTTCACATGAAAACATGACTAAAGGAATGGTACATGGATGATGATAAAATGGCTGTGGACTCACCATCAGATGCGGGTAAAGACGGATGCAGGTCTCCATCTCGTCGCTCGTTCACATCCCGGACAGTGCGCGAGCCCCTCCGACGTTCACAGCCTCAGCATCCGCGATCTCGCGAGCATCTCACAACCTCCCTCCCCCTCCTCCCTCACCCTCCAGACCAAACCACACCCCTCCCTCTCCTTATCAGCACATCCAATTTGTACCGAGTGATTTTCAGCTTAACCTCCCTCAAGGAATTCATTGTTCAGCCCAAGTGTGAAGAGGAGGAAGAGTCTAATTTCCTGTCATTTCTCTTCAATCATCATATCTGCGGTTCAATCACGTGTTCATTCGTCTGCAAGGAAATTAACTACTATCCAAACCGCACCTAAAGTCATTAATTATTGAAATGTTTTTATATGCAATTGATTAATTGTACAGTCTATTACACTGTGAAAAAAGACAATGCCAATTGCAACAAATATCAGTTCGTCCAGGTGAATGTTTATAACAAATTTGAAGACATTTCCTAAAGCTGCTCTTCAGATATCACATTCAAGATAAACACGAAGATACTAAGTGAGGCCACCATGACCTTGACCTATGGCTTCTAGTCACCCAGTCAAGTGATTTAATCCTTGAGACCAAGTTAGTGTTTGTGCTGAATGTGTGAAAGGATTCCTTCACGGCGTTAGAGATGTCACAATCACAAGTCATAAAATGTGCTTTGTGAGGCCACCATAACTTTGACCTTTGACCATCAACATTTAATCAGTTCATCCTTGAGTCCAAGTGAATGTTTGTACCAAATTTGATGAAATTGCATCAAGGTGTTCTTGAGATATCATGTTCACAAGAAAGGGACGGCTGGACGAACCCAGACAACAGCAGAGCACACACACAAAGGATCAAAAAGTGAGAAAAACACTGTATGTATATGTTTTATTTATTAAAAATATATGGAATTACGGCAGCATGACCCGCTCTCCTCAGTAGTCATCTAATGTCATACAGATACATGTACTGTCGTTTAGTTTATTATCAATAAATAAACCCATGCTTCCAAAACCAAACTATTACCCACATTATTGTGTGATATCCATCTTCTTGCTGTGCGTTCCTTAAGGCAGATCAATATGAAAGCTTTATTAATCCACCCTAAAATGATATAAATGACTGGTTACACTGTACATAATGCACTAGGTTCAATAAATAGAACAGAAGAAAATGGCTGTTTGATGACAATTACATCCAAATATCTACAAATGTCTGAAAAGTTCATAAAAGTGCCTCCAAGATTTAGAAAATATCACATGCGATTTTGGGTTCATGTTGAACAAGTAGGTCTGTCCCTGGTAAAACCTCTTTAAAAAGGGACAGGAGATAAAACTTGCATCATGATGGAGGTTGAAAAGGAACCGGGCTGATGCACCCAACACCTCAGATCATCGTTCCTCATCACTTGACCCTCTTGTAGATTTTGTTGGCAAAGTTGAGGAAGATCGGGTGAGGGAGGTTTTGAGCGTGACGAGCGATGAGCTTCTGAAGCCGCTGGTAGCTCTCGGTTTCGTATTGGTGGTACAGTGTTGGCATTTGCAGGGTGTTGTACAATGCTTTGACCTTCTCTATGCTGGCTTCATCGTGACGAGCGTAACATTTCTAAGGAGGAGATGAACATGAAATCAAGTTTTGTTTAACAAACTAGTTCTGTTCTTTCCCAGAGGTTAGTGACCACAAACACAGAGGCGTCGAAAGATAAACACAACAGCAGCTGGGACTCCGGAAATAGTTTGATTGTTCTCAAACATAAATAATTACAATTAATAACCAAGTTTCTATTTCTGCAGAGATTTGAATGGATTTTTTGTTTATACTGTTTGATTATCTAGAAAAGTGACTGAATACTAACACTTGTCAGATATACAGTATAATTCATGCATTTAACCACATTTCTTTCATTTAATCTAAATGTATTTGAATCTGACAATCTTTGCATACACCTCTGTGTTGTAGCCACAGTATATCAGAGCATATTCTACGTGTTTAAACTGAAGAGATTGTTGTGTCTCACCGCCAGCTCTGCTCTCTGTTCAGCCGTCATGATTTCCAGGGCCGTCACAACCAGCCAGCTGCACTTGTTATCCTGAATGTCTGTACCAATCTTTCCTGTAACAGCAGGGTCACCATAACAGTCCAGGTAGTCGTCCTGCCAATGACGCACACTGGGTGGTTATTAACTTTGTATAAAGTGCAGCATGTTATCCAATACATAAAAGTGTGTAAAAGTCGTTACCTGTATTTGGAAAAATTCTCCCATCTCAAGTAAGATGTATTTGGCATTATTGTGTTCCTCATCACTGGTGATTCCTGCCTATAAAAGGTATAGTAATACAGTAATGAGAAAGAGTATCACATTACTCTGTTACTTTATATACGTATATTGTGTCGGCTTGCAACGTCATTCCCATCACAGGGTTGATTCTGTGATATTAACACACTCACCATGTACATTGCAGCTGCCACTGGGAGATAAAAAGAGTAGAAAGCAGTCTTGTATTTTACAATAGCTTTGTACCTGAAAAGACAAGGAGATAAATCTAAATCTTATTTACAACTGCTTTGGTAAAAAACAATATTCAACTCTGCAAATGTATTTTTCATATTTCCCTTCATTACCTCTCCGTGGTGAACCTGTTGAGGTCAATCTGACCAGGGGGGGCTGTCATGAGGTCCAAAGCCTGGCCAAGCTCTGTCTGAAAACTTGTCTGAAATACAAAGATGCACTGAGTGTCCTGTGCCAGTGTGTGTGTGTGTGTGTGTGTGTGTGTGTGTGCGCCTGTGTAATCAGTTGGGACGTGTAATACCTCAGTAAATAGCTCCAGCAGGTGGACATAGTACGGCTGATCCCTGCAGTGTCTGCGAAGTAGCCTGTAGATCAATCCTTCCATGAGAAACGCATCATTGATGGCATCCAAACCTATACCATCCTTAATAACAAACAGGCAAAATTTACATTAGAAACTGGGCATTAATAACGAAAAAATTATTGACACTCACTTCACAAAAAAGGGCATTTTAGTCTCACCTTCTTGTACCAGCAGGGTTGTCCTCTCCTAGTCACAGATGAATCCATGATATCATCTGACATGAGGAAAAATGCCTGAAGCTGCAAGCAACAGAGGCACAGTTGTAACACTTCATCACTTACAAAGTCATAACACACTCTCAAATAACAGCCAGTCTGGGCTGCATGTGAGAGGAAAGAACAAAACTGAAGCAAAATGCCAACTTATGAGGCTCAAGTCTAACCAAATTTTAGCAAATGTCTCTCAAACAAAAAAAGAAAGGTCGAGACTCATAGGGACTTGGTGTAGTATTGGTTTTAACAGCAGCAGGATGAGGCATGTGGAAGCTGCATGTGTGCGATGACAGTGAACATCTACGTACCAACTCAATGCACCAGCCAACTACCAGAGCCCGCTGCACGTTGTCCTGGGTGAGCTTAGAGGGTGGGAGAAGCTCCCTGAGTGAGCCAATCACAGACAGGCCTCGGTTCCTCTTGCCTCCAGGGGCATTGTACAGCAAAACCTACAGACAAAAAAGTGGCATAGAGAATATACTTGAAGCACTTAACCTTAGCCATAAGAGTAGATTATTTTATAAATAAGGTAATAAGTCTGATAAAGTCATATAATTTAGTTTACACCTCAAAACACATATTTAAATGTGCAGTATCATTTTAAAAATGGAGACTGTCTCCACAGAAGTGATGAACCTGGCTGTAGTTCATTGCAGTTTTTGGCTGATGTTTATGATATTCAAAGTGCGTTTCTCTGTTTGCAAAAGTTGTGACTTTTTTGCAGCGCAGCGTCAAACTGAAGATTCCCTGGCAGGGACACACTCACCTCTCTCATCCTGTTCAGAGCATCAGCCAGCACCGGGTCGGTGAGGTCCCTCTCTGTCACCTCCGTCACCAGCTCATCGAACTGGGCCTCGAACAGCTGCGGGTCCGACAGCAGCGGCTTCTTACCGTGGGTCCCGTTGCAGGTGCTGTCTGCCTGCAGAGACGAGGAGCACAGCACAAGAGGAGACGTGGGTTTAAACTTCAGCGGAGGCTCCGTCCGCCACATCCCGGGAAGTTTAACGAGCAGGCTGAGCAGACGTCTCATCCCCAACCACGTCACCTCACTGACGGTAAACTGTCTGCCTGTGCTGACAAAGATTTATGAATCATGTCAGAAACCTGCTGGTCCGCGTGAGGACACCTGTCAGGCTAATGTTGTTAGCTACATGTTCAACAAATCCTGTTAGCATGAGGGGCACTTCTTCTTCTGGGTTTAAATGCCAGTTTACGAATGATTGTCGCCACCTACTGGACTGGAGTGTGCATCACAGGACTGGCAGGTAAATAAAAGGAAAGAAAACTCCTCAAATTCTCTCTATTCTACCAGTTTCCTATGAAAACGTCATTATTTGGCCACATGTTGTCCTCGGTGCTTTACTCACGAGACAGTATCAATATATACACACACACACACAATTATTCCTCTTCTGTTTTTTAAGGTGGTTGGCAAACAACTTATTGGTGCACCACCGCCACCTACAGGACTGGAGTGGGACTCAGAAGACTGGCAGAAAACCAAACCAGTTTCCATTGAACGTCATTATTTGGCCTCAGTGCTTCTCTCTTGGGAAATAATTGGACAGATTCTTCCTCTGTTCTTTTATGGCGGTTGACAAACAACTTGTAGAATCCTAATGCCACCTTCTGAACGGGTACATGCCCAGAGTTCAATTCATGTTTCAATGTGATGTGATCTTTTTACAACCTGCTACTGAACAATTGTCTTTCCTGTTGCTATTGATGACGATGATAATTACTAATGGGGTATTTTTACATTGCTTTCTCACTACTTTTACTTAAGTGTGTTATATAATGATCTTTATCATTATGTGTTCTGTGGTTATTTTTTATTTGATGCCCATTAATTTTTGGCTATCTCAATCTCATCCTTTTTAATCTATTTGTTTCTCTCATTTAGTTTCCATGTGCAATACTTCCTGTCATTTCTTAGTGACCTCTTATTCGATTATGCTTTAAACCTCAGCCAAAAGATAACTTACTGTCATATTTACCTCAGTATTTTTTAGTTGAATCTTCTTCATCTGATGCTTTTTGGCAGTTGGCAAACAACTTATTGGTGCTTATTGCTCTTAGCCTATACTTTTCTGTTTAGGTGTGATTTGATACCTGCTTATAATAAAATTGTCTTTCCTGATGATGCTGAGGACAATAATTCATCACGTTCCTGTTTCCTGTATGTTCCAACACTCACACACACCTGTTGCTTAACCTGAGTCAACCAGCCTGGACAAGAAATAACAACGTAAATATTCAGTCACATAAATAAGCATATATTTATATTTATATTTCACTCGCCAAATGTTCTGCTACTGATTTATCCCACTGGGTATTTTTGAATTGCCTGGTTCACTCTTCCTGTCTTTTATTTTACGTTGTGACAGAATTACTGTCAAGTCAAGAAAATAAACGATAACTGACGTCACTCCACGATTCCCCCTGCATCCAGTTAGCTGAGCTAGCTAAGATGGATCAAGATATGATTTATTCTTAAACAGGACTTTTCTCACCATAATGACCTGCTCCTTGTTTCCACACAGTTCAGTGAAGCAGCTTCTTTGAATCTTCTCCTGAAAGATTCACCGGAGTCTGAGATCGGCTCCTAAATCCAGGATGTGAATGCTGTAGTTCACGCTCCACCCGCGGTCTGCTTTAATAGAAAGCAGAAGGACTAAGTTTCCCGAAAGCCCTTGCGGGTGGTGCATCTGGGCGTGGACTTGCAAGGCTCCATTTGACATTCAGCGTTTTCATTGGCTGGTGACATCGAACCAGGATGGGCTCTCATGTCGACTGACCAATAGGGTTTGAACCAAGAGGCGGGGTTTGGTGGAGTGGTGAGCCTCGATCATTGTTATCAAAACTTTTACTGTTGCAGAGAAAAGAAAAAAGGAAAAGTTAGAGAGAGAGAGAAAGAGAATTCATCCAAACTTACCTCACAGTGTGGTCTGTGAATTACTCTTTAAGAATATGTACAACACATCCACATGGGTATTTTTATTTGATGTCTATTATTTATTCCATATGCTGAAATACATAACTTGCATTGAAAGTTTTCTCATTTAAAATCTGGAATACTTAGATACATTTATAATTTAGGTTTCAAGGCTATATCCCGTCAAGCCTGCCATACATATTATACATTTCTTCAAATAAATAATATATATTTTTTAATGCAAGACAGGAGGTAGAAACACAGCTCGGTGCTTTAATAAGGGGGTGTATGAGTGTGTCTGTGTATGTGTGTCATTTAAAAACAAAATTGTTAGATACATGTTAGTGCCTCAAAAATGTGCCTTTACTGATATGGAGTCGATTTCATCACTTAGTGAACACACCACAAAAGACTTTCTGACCAATCTGACACACATATACCGATACACTTCATAATCCATTATCCAGAATGGCCTGACTCATCGTACGTTCACTGTCACTGGTGTGTCGGCGGCCCAATGCCTTTTCTTTTCAAAACCCACTCACAACTCTTTTGCAACTCCAAAGGAACCGTGACGACACATAGTGTGAAGCCCCACCTCATGACAAATAATGTCTGTACATTTATTGCAAGAGACTCGACATTTCATCAGAGCCACAGTGCAGTTTACAACTCTTCAACTCACAGGATCAGGCTGCTGGAGCCCGTTTCATAGATACGCCTGTGCAACTGAAACATTTTCAACCCCTATATCAAAATCAAATTAGGATGCAGCAGCATGTTTGGAGCACATCTTGGACTCTTTCCCTTCATCTATCTATAAACACAAACACATTTCAAATGCCTAATATCATAGGTGTTGGGCGCAAGAGGAGGAAAAAAAGAGATTTTTGAAACATGCAGATAAAGACATTCTGAGGACATGTTACGTAGTTACACAGACGGCCAGGATCTAATGCACAAGGTTCCTTCTGTTTCTGGAGGCTGGAGCAAAACATGCACATATGCAAATCAAACCACCGTGTCCAGGGCCATCCACAGAAAAATACATGTCAAAGGCCGAAGTGTGTCTGTGGCGTGCAGAACTGTCATTGATAGAAATGCTGGTCGCCTTTTGTTTGAAGGCCAGTGTGGAGCTGTGAACGTGTGGAAAGATGAAAAACGAGAAAAAACGTCAAAAATAGCAGGAAGAATTTTTCATGTGAGAGCATCTTTCCTCATCTGTTTAGATTTTACTTTACTAACTATATGTTTATTGAGATGCATTTTTTTAATCAAGGGAAGTCAGTGGAAGAAGTGTTTCCATGATCACCTCACCTGAGCGATCCTGTGGATATACAGCAATGTACAAAAGCGCTAGACGCATGTCACAACCAGTCACAACCCATGGTTATGTTATAGACTGAATGTACATGTGAGTGAGTGGTCGTAGTGCCATTAATGTTGACTTTGATCTCTAGTGTTGAGGGAAATATATTTCCGGATGATTGTTGAGAGGGAGGAAGTGAAGATGCTCCTGGTTGGTTGGTCTCGACCAATAATGGATTTGTTCTGACCACAGACCACAACTGTTTCACTGATGTTGAACAGTGAAAAAAGAGTTAGCTCTGGGTTGATGCGCTGAGGGATTGAAGAGCACCACTAAATAAGGCCATTTGCACAGATGACTTAAGGAACCGGAAGTGACGAGAAGAAAAAGGAGGGAGGACTTCTTTAATTTGCCTTCTCTCCTAACAACCCTTCAGTTTTCTATGCCTCCTGTTTTCCTCCCTGAGCCCTCCTTGACCCTTCTCCCATCCTCACAGCGCAGACTCAGAGTAGAGAGCTCCCGATGACCCATGCGGTGGATAAGGCGTCAGCAATCGGTGTAGTGACGCTGAGGAAGAGGAGCTTAAATCTCCACAGCTGCGCAGGTGGATCCCCTCTGGCACCAGGCCGCTGTAGTGCCGGTTGTGTCGACTGTCACTGTGGGAATGGTGGTGTCCGCGGTGGGGAGGGGGAGCGTGATGGTTGGGGTGTCCTCGACTGGTGCTCCAAGGGGTCCGCAACATCTGAAGAGGATTTTATCAAGCAAAGATGAAGACAAATGTGAGACAGCTTGATTGTGATGTCAAAAATTGAGGATGTGCAAAGCTCATTGTAAGAAGGAGTAATACTTGTTCTAGGGGTAGATGGTTGGTGGCCACACCCTCAGTTCCCCCCCTTCTCTTGGGCCCCTGTCCTGTGCTCCCCGCATGCTCGGAGGAGGGAGCTAGGTTGCGTTTGGAGCGCTGCAGGAAACGAGCCACTAGAACCCGTGTCACCTGAATGAAAAGAAAGATCGGTGTTGGGGAGGCTGGAATTAGACAAACTATAATCCAGCTTTTGCAAAGACTTATGTGGGAACTGTCACATTCCGTTAACCCCTATCCTTTAAGACTTGCCTTAAGGTCTCCGAGGGAACGGTGGCAGTCTTTAGGTAAACGCAGTGGTGATGTGGGTGGAGGTTTGGTGGGGACCTGCACCCCTGTGGCCGCTGATTTTACGTTGCTTTTCCTGGGCAAAGCTGCAGCAGGAGGCGAAGAAGTGCGCGGCAGCAGACACGCCTCCGAGGACGGACCTGTGGAGTCAGAACAAACAGGGCAAAGAGAAAGATTTCTGCTGTCATCTTTCAAGTTATGTTTCCAACTCAGAGGTGATCTGGTGTTGAGGGGAGTGATATCAAAGTAAATGAAGAAACCCGGACAAGAAATCAAAACTAACTAACTGGGGATGGTGATGATGACCAATATTACAAAATAAATATATTATATTCTGGGTAAAAAATTGGCAGCGTTTCCTGAGATGTTGTTATCAAACGCTGATAACGAAGAAAAAGGAACTGGCTATTTGACAGTTCTGCCATATTTTGTTTTATGAATGACTATAGTTAAAAAGAAACCACAAGAACTTGAATTATAAATAAAGCAAAGGAGAAGGAAACACAACGGCACAGCTAATTTCAGTATTCACCACTGTCATATCTGTCAGACTGTAGCTGTAAGTATGATGCATATTTTCTCATTGCAGAATCTTACTGAAACCACACAGTAATAATGAATCATGTTTTTAAATGATCCAATTCAACAGTCCGACACATGGTACAAAAATGTAGGCAACTAAAAGTATTAAAACCTTAAAGATGTAGAAATATGGGGTCATTCTTAAATTATTTTCATTAACTGTGTCCAGTAAATACTCCCTGTCAAATGCTGTATACAGGCTTTGCTGTATAAGGCTGCCTTTGGTAAGATGAGTGTCGACAAACATGAATAAATCAGAGCGTGTCATCTGAAAATAATGATACAATATAATTTATCAATCTGTAATCATATCAATGTTAATTTAGATGCTGTGGAAGAGTTTTATAAATCATATCCACAAGGGTACGGATTTGCTAATAGTGTATGATAAATGACCGTCTGTAGCTGCTGAGATATAGATCATCAGAGCAGCTTAGACGCGTTTTCTTTTGTGCTAAATAAAAGTAAGAGAGGAAAGATTTAAAAAGCAGATTCTATGCATTTTAGAGCAATGAGACACCTGAACGTCACATGTTGAAGCTCTCACCTGTATCTATAGATACTTTGCTGCCTCCAGAGCCAAAGTCAACTAGAGAGGAAGGGATGAAAGAACAGGTTATGGAAACTGTACAACCAAAGTAAGAGATGTTTCCATGCTTGTGTCTGAATCACCTGTATCAGTGGAGGAGCCGAGCCCCGGCTCACTGTGTGACCTCACCAGGTGTGACAGCCGTTCGCCATCCTTTCTCACAGTCTCTCCATCCTTCTCACTCTTCCCCGCCCTTCGCCGAAGGTACAACGGTTGACGTGGGAGGAGCTGCCCCTGCCCCTGACCTCCGCCCTGCTCGCTGGCGGGTGAGGAGGATGAAGTGAGGGGAACAGAGGAGGTCGCAGCAGCTCCCTGTGGCAGCCGAACTCGAATCTCTGGGATGGAGGACTGTTGAGAGGCGGAGCCCCCTATTGCTTCCAGTTGGGAACAGCTGCTGGCGAGCATGGCCTGGCGACGCAGAACTGGAGACCTGGAGGACGACATAGGAGAATTCAAAAGATTTCTGTGGATGGTTGATTTTAGATTTAGGCTTTTAGATCTTATCTCAATATTGTTACGTATACAATGATGAGTAAAAACATTAGTTCCTTTACAGTGTACACCATGTCTTCACCTGTATGTGGTGGTGGCTGTGCTGGGAGAGGAGCAGGAGTTGGACCTCTCTCCTCGAAGAAAGCGTCTCGCTCTCGGTCCTCCTGCCAGAGGACTCTCCGCTGTTTGAGATGGAGGACCGCGGTAGCTGATATACTCCCCTACGTCTCCCCCATCTCCCACCTCAACACCAGCTGTCCTGTTTCCTCTCTCCCCCTGGTGCCTTAGCCCAACATCCATCAGATATGAGTCCTCTGATGGGGACGAATCATCAGGGATGTCCACAATCTCCGACATCAGCAGGGATCCACTGTCCATGGACACTAATGAAAATAAACTTTTATTATAAGGGAGGAATCTATGCAGAAACTTGTTATCTGGAATTAACACCATGGTGTAATGGGTGTCACTCTAACAAGTGATACAATTATATTTGCTGGACTGTTTACTATCTTGTGCCAAAAAGCAAAACCACTGTTGAGAAATTCAAATTCACCTTCTCCACTGAAGGCAGTAGAAGTTCCTCTCTCTCCAGACAGCTCAGTGCCGTGAGGGTCGAACATTGTTGCCTTAACAGTCACAAGAGAGAAGGATCAGCCTGGTCCTCACACAAATACAGCATATCCACAAATCACAGATTCAAATATGCTCACCTGGCTGGCCACTCTCTGTCCCATCACGGCTTCATATGGAGGGGGACAATCAGTGGGGTACAGGGGTACAGGGCTCTCCATGGAGCCATTATAGGTGATGCTAGAGGATCATAGAAAATAGATATTACACTTTTGTTATCCAGCATGCTGATGTTAACCCCTGAAAGTGCCTGTTCTGTTTGTTACCTCTGTGCGTCTGTCTCAGAGCTGCACGTGTACTCAGGAGGATAGTAGGGAGGTGGAGGGATGGGTGGGACAAACTCTTCAAAGTCCATGATGTTGGTCAGGAAGGCGTCCTGAGGAGTGGTGCATTCTGGGTTGACTGAACGAGAGCGATGAGGAGCCAGCTGGGCAGGCAGCATGGGAAACGCAGCATAATACAACAGATAGATTAGTCATAGGCTATAACATTTGTTAAACATTAGGACTGAAGGGAACAGTATAAATGAATTACAGAGTGCTGGTCATTGTTAAACAACAGCCAGCGCGCTGTAGAATGTGCTGTGTTTGCTCTCACCAGGTGCACGAGGTCCAGGGAGAATATGTGAATACTGCAGGTCACAGTGGACAAAGTGCAGATGATGGTGGAGAGAATGCTGAGACCGCAAGCACTGAACAAAAGGTCCTGCCGACAGATATGCATTAAAAAAAACAAAGAATATATCTTATTCAATGTCTAACTTATGCAATACAATCATTTGGGTTCACATACTCATCCTACCCACCTTCAGCTGATGTCGGACTGAGTGGCAGTCAGCGTTCAGGTACAGAACCAGGGTGTCCTCCTCTGTGATGGAGCAGGAGTGAGTAGGTGCACAACACACACACAGACCATTCTCCACCTACACACATTTACACACACAGAGGGTTGATGTGAGGTACCGATCTGCACGCTATACTATTCCTGGCTCGTTCCCTGTGCGTCTGGTTGGAAGGGTATTTTCAACACTTGCATAATGTCGTTTACCTGGCAGGTGAGCATTGACTTGACCATCTGTGCGTTCTGACAGGAGAGCATCGAGCCGGCCAGGCTGAGGATCACACACACTGCAGACAGCAGCATGAACAGGGACACCTGTGGAGGAGCACAGAGCCAAGATTTGTGTGGAGCAGGGTGTTAAAATAAAGAGTTTTATTCTTAATCCTGGTTTTCCCCTAAATGTGATGACCAGATCAACCAGCTAAGATGACTATCCCCACATTTACTGTGGATTATGTACACCCTAGCTTGATAAACACTAGCTGGTGGACAAAAGCTACAAAAAGATGAAGATAAGAAATGTATTTTACCTCCCAGGTACAAGTAAAGTTTGGTCACGTGTCTGAAGAAAAGCTTGTGCCCAAAATGTTGCCTAGCTGGGAAGTAAAGTTTGTGGGAGCATCAACTGATGTGCTAACTTTTATATTCCACAAGAACTATACCCTCTGCAAATCTATGGGCCGATTTGCTTTTCACCTTCTTTATCTAGGCTCACATAAACTCTGAACCACTGCTCTTAAGCAGAGTTGGATGAAAAGTCTGTAAAGTTCTCCAAAAAATTAAAAAAATTAAAATCTGTGTTTTCATGACAACTGAGAAAACTCCATCTGCTGGTGAAGATCACCGACTAATTGGAACTGGGTGGTTGTTCAATTTCATTTTTTGTTGAACTTTAATTGTGGATATCTCTAAATAAACTGACAAATACAGTTTGTCAAATCCCCACAACCTGGTTGAGATGCAGTGAGACTGGACCCCGGAGGTCTGGGCCCCTCTGGGACTCTTTGCTCTTTGGTGCCACAGACTGAAATGTACATACCACGAGTGTCAACGGCCTCCTCCATGAGATTATTCCAACTATTCCTGAGGCCACCACCTGGTAACAGAAAACACATAGACAAGATAACACACTTACAAATCTGATGTTTCATTGTTACTGCTGCAAGATGTTGTCAGATGTACACTTACAAAGAAACCAGCCCAAAATGGACAGGACTGTCTCACTCGGGCTGAGGAGGTGAAGGCCATGCTGGTGAACGAGAAGGCCAGGACCATGGCCCCCAGGCCCAGGTGGCACAGTCCCAGGTAGAGGAGCAGCCGTGCACCACCGGGCCCCCGACCTGACATGCCCCTACGGCTGTCCGACCACCCCCGAGAACCCGAGGCCACGCTGCTGGAGTCTGACGGCGAAGGCATGATCGGCTCATCCGTGGGTGGAGGAGGACGGGAGAGGGTTACACGCTTCACTGTGGTTTCGTAAGACAAAGTTCAGTTTAGTAGAAGAGGGAGAGACATTAATGCTGGCTTCAGGGATCCACTCTGTCACGATTATGCACCAAGCTCTCCACTGGCAGGTGCCATAGGTGCTGCGCAATGCCCCATGGTGTGTGCACTACAGTCCAGTCAGTGAGTCCAAGAACTCTGTCAGCAGAAAGTTGAGAAAGGAGCAGCCGCTACACACTCGCAGCCACCTTACTCTCCTCATTTGACGTTTCAGCTGTGATGCTAAGGTTGCTCGAGTCAATACAGTGTCTCTTTCACCTCATGCAGCTCACAGGCCCTTATAGCCCACAGTCTGTATCTACTGTACACACTTTACCTTCCTACTCAGTCACTCTCTGATTATCACACACAACTGGGCTTCTTTTTTTTTTTTTTTGCAATCTTCACATTATTGTTTCACTCATTTTCTTTTTTGCTGCTGCCTCTTCTCTCCATCCTCTGCCTTCCACCTCTCCCCTCCTCTCGCCAGTGGCATTGCGGTAACTGGAGACCCGAGCAGGCCGCAAATTCTGAAGCATCCCACAGTAAAAACAGCTGATCGCTCTCTCTTTTTACCCCCCCAGCAGCGATGACAGGAGTCGGTCACTCCGTGTGTCCACTCAGGATAAAAAAACAATAACAATACATCCGAACATGTGCTCTCCCACCCTCCTGCAAACCTTGTGTTAGGACCTCATCCTGTCACCGATGAGAAGACACGGTTTGGAGAAGCAAAGCTCCAGGATCACATCCGAGAGAGATCACCTCGACATGAACAGGAAATAAATAGCCCACATCGATTTTCAAACTGCACCAAAAATAGCTTCCTCTCCGGGATGAATCTTTCCCCCGCAGGCTTCGATCTCTTGACAACTCAACCTCGGGGGGTTTTGCGGGGGTCCACACGCACCTAGACCCCCACCACCATCACCACCATCACCATCACCCCCTCCTACTCCGCCTCGTTCCTCCCTGCAGTCACGCGGGCATCCCGTGTGTTTGTGTGTGTGCGGACGTTTACCTCACTGCCTCCCACCAGACGTCACAGGAACATAACAACATAGCCTGTTTCTAACCTATGTCCCGGCTCCCATGTTTATATCTGATACTTCCACCTTCATTTTCTTCTGCTGCTTCTCCTCGCCCCACCCTGTGCTGCTCTCTTGTCTCTCCTCGGCTCTGACACTGCGAGAGGAAATGAATCGTGTTTGCAAACCTGCCCGATGCGTGATGACAAGGCACGCAAAGAACGTGCAGGCCGCTCGGAGATGCGGCAGAGCGCGCGCACACACCGTCTGTGGTACTGATGCTGCGAGGGAGGGGCGGTTGCCTAGCGACACACTCCAGCTCGGGATCCCGCTGCTGCAGCAACGAGAGGAAAAAAGTGTCAGTGCAGCTCCAGGCCGCTGCACCGAGAGGATAGTGGTTAAACAGAAGGCGACGTGGGGTCCTGGAAGTGGGAACGAGTGTCCCTGAGGTGCCTGAAATCTATCAGCACTGTGTCAGTCAACAAACATACTACATAGAACCACTAATCATAAAGGCTTTGTTGGCTGCCGTGCTGCAATTATTGCTCAATACATAATTTATCAGCCTACTGCTTTATAGAGCAGTTTTGAGCCACTGAAGAGAGCAAAGTAAGAAAGTAATGCAGCAGAGTGTTTGAACAGCCAGATAACTAATAAGTATATTTGTCATCAATCAAACAAATTTTATAGCCCATATTCACAAATCACAATTTGTCTCATAGGGTGACATCCTCTGTCCTTAACCTTCAACAAGAGTGAGGAAAAACTGCCAGAAAACCCTATCAATATGAAAAAACATACAAACCTCGGAGAGGGCCACATGTGAGGATCTCTATCCCAGGACGGACAGAAGTGCAATAGATGCTGGGTGTAGCTGAACACAAATAACATAATAGAAAAGTGTGTCAATGTTTAAAGTATTTATACATAAGAAAATGTCTGAAAGAGATAAAGGGAGCAGCAATGACAATTGAAATGGAGGAGTAATGGTAGAATATGTGCGTAGGCATATTGAATATCAAGCAGTCTTCACTACCATGATCAGGATCCACCATCACAACCCACAATCCACAATCACAATCCATTATCCACCATCACAACCCACAATCCACAATCACAATCCATTATCCACCATCACAATCTCTGATTCACCATACATGTTACTATAAGCTTTATAAAAACAGAAAGTTTTAAGCCTATAGTTGTAAATGTAGAGAGGGTGTCTGCCTCTTAAACTGAAACTGGGAGCTGATTCCACAGGAGAGGAGCCTGATCGCTGAAAGCTTTGGCTCCTGTTCTAATTTTAGACACATTAGGGACCACAAACCTGAATTCTGGGAGCGCAGTGCTCTAGTGGGTTGAAATGGTACCATGAGCTCTTTAAAGGTCCAGAGTGTAAGATTTAGGTGAAATGGATCTATTGGCAGAAATTGAATATAAAATAATCCTAGTGATGTTTTCACTAGTGTGTTTCATCTAAATTTACAAACTGTTGTTTTCTTTACCATAGAATGGGCCGTTTATATTTAAATAATTTAATATTTACATCAAGAGCGGGTCCTCTCTATGGAGGTCGCCATGTTTTTTACAGTAGCCCAGACTGGACAAACTAAAGACCTTTGGAAGTCTACCACAGGTTCTTTATGTTTGGAGGAGGAGGGTGAGGTGAGGAGTATTCAGCTTCTACAGACTGAACCTTTAAGGTATGATGGTGTAACAAAGATAATAATGATGAGCAAAATATGCAGACTGAAAGCAAAGCTTACTTCATCCTTCTACAAAGTATATGTGCATGGCTCCATTCTTCATCTGTTCTACCAATATGTTTGCACGAATTCTAGTTGTCCAGATTCCATATTGTACATTTTTCTTTGTAACTTATGTCTGCACAGACTAACACCACCACCAATCCCTTTGAGGTACATTTGTGACTTTATTTTATATGAATAAAATCTTCTTCACTTGACTCCATACAACAAAAATGTGAGGTAGCCCAGATTATATTATTGTGTCAACATACAGATTCAAACCACAACATACTCATGTGATTACACTTTAAAAAATTTATTCAGCAAGTGGAACATCTGTAAACTACATACAGAGATTTGTGGCAAAAGTAAAAAGACAAAATGTGACAGAACTTGTTACAGGAAATTCAGTGTGTCTGTGCAGGATAAAAAAAGACTGTCAGGATCAGAAGAGCTGTGGCCATCACACTTGCGGTTCTGAAAACTGCCTGAACAGAGAAACATGTCATGTCAGATATAGCTAATGTGTGGTTGTGTTTGGTCAGAGATTTACCAGGCACTTCACATAAAAGGCAAGATCCACTAAATCAATTGAAAATGAGGGACATGGGAGCATTGTGTGCTTCCTACATCCTGTCCATCCACTTGCTTTATCCATCATTCTTTTATCTCGCCACACACCCTCTCATATTGCACTTATCTCTGTTCCCATCTACCACGTACTCATTCCACGCCTCCGTTAAAACAAAGCCAGTTTACCAGTGGTGTTTGTTTCAGTTTCAACAAACAACCAACATCAACTTGTTCAATTACTTACTGCAAAGAGCATCTTCTCAATTTGTCATAGGATGTAACAAGAAGTTTTCCCATTGGGTAATGTAGTTCTACTTGTACCTTAGATTCTGTGGAATTCATTAAAATGCTGTGCACTATTAAAACACATCAACAGTTTGCATAGAGATACACATATAATAACCATGAGGAAATGTAAATATAAATTCTGCTGACATTTAAATCTCAATTATCTGTTGAGTTTGTTTATGTGCCACTGTCTCTCATGTGGCAGATGTCTATGTCTGTTTGCTGTTGTAATATTGAACAAATCAATACATTTGAAACAGTGAACAGACAACAATGAAAGTGCATTGCTAACCAAAGGCGATTTATGACTTATTGTTCAATCGTATTAGCGTTTCCATCTGATTTCCATCCAACAAAATCACTAACATGCCTGTCACCTTTTGAAATCTTTGAAAAGGTTAACAAAAATGACGTTTTGGGTAAAAAGGCTTCAACCAGGGGCCTATAGTGTGCACTTTAAATCAAAACAAACTCTTCCTATGCCACAAACTACCACTGTATGTTCACAAATGAAATAAATGAAATTGTTCCAATAAGCCGAGGAGTGATTTTTTTTACAGAGCTGACGAGTCCAGTAAATATATTTTTTAAAACACAGCTGAAGTTCATCCAAGACATAAGACGGTGCTGCTGCTGATAAGCCAGAGTGATAAAAAGTGGAAATTAAAATGTAAAGCGGTATTAAAGGTGGTTTTTGAGTTTCTATCAAACTCATCCAAGACTCCACTTCACCAACTCTTCATGACAATAAGGCTATCACAGTAGATGTAGCAGCAGAAAATATGTCCAATATAAAATACAGGCACTTTCTCAGAAGAGGAATCCATAAATTACTTTTGCTGTAAAATTCTTGGGAAACCAACATACACCTGTGTGTATTTTGTCATTAACCCCACTAGATGGAGACAGAACACACGTTGTACTGTGTTCCTCCACTTATACTGATGTGTTCTTAAATTTGTATTGTGTGTTTCTTCTGTGTGCTCGCCAGTGTCACGTCTAGAGCAGAGCACAGTTGGAGGATTTTTTCACTGTGCTGCTGGTGATTTTCACCTCTCGACCTGTGGGACTCTGCGACACAAAGAAAAGACACAACAGACATGTGCATTACAACATATGTCTGTAATCCCGTGTTCCTGGAGGAACACACGCTTCAGTTTGGTGTTATTTGTCATGATGAGTCTGCTCTGACTTACTGGTTTCTTGCTGGATTTCTGAAGTATGTCTCTTGCAAAAGCCAGGAAAGACTAAAGGAAGCAGAAAGATAACAAGAGAGACTGAGGTTAAGTTAAGTTCTGCAGCATTGATCATATTAAAAAAACAGTTAATACGTTAAAGTTTACTGAGGTGTGATTTGTTCTGGCTCACCTCCTCAACATTAATGCTGGACTTTGCACTGGTCTCAAAGAACCTGATCCCGTGATCTTTAGCCAGCTGTGGAAGACACATAGCTTTATGTACAGGGGGGCTGGATATGGACAATAATCACTTCCTGCTTCTTATCTAGGATAACTTGAAAGCTTGAACATTAAAAACGTATCACACTCAGTCCCTTCTTCAAAATATCCCTCCATAATAAAGTTAGAGAACACTCCAGATGAAACAACACATTATTTTACTTCTCTCCACGTTACTTTCCTTTTCATGATGAATTTTTTATAGTACACTGACTCTTTTCTCCATCTATCCACTGTTCCCTGATTTAACACTAACTCGATATGACGCTTCTCCCAAAAATCTAAACAATATAACACATGAGCTTGAATTAAATTCCTCTCAGGGACATCTCACCTTCTCTCCCGTCTCCTTGGTAACCTTTCGCTTTGCCTCAATGTCGCACTTATTACCTAGCAACATCCGACTGACCCCGGCTGATGCGTTCTGGGAAAGAGGGAATGCAATTAATTGATTGGGTCACAAAGAGTTTGGGTTTACGGAGGTTAGCGGCAGACACAGATAATGAGATTAAAGGATCTTAACATGAGGTGAGTGAAGAACCACAAAGATCTGAACTCCAGAGGCCTTAACAGCAGCTGTCAGATAAAATATTTCTTTTAATAAACATGAAAGTAGCAATGGTTGATTTTCTCATCACAAAGGCTTTTGTGTATTTTGTTTAAACTTAATGAGTTTGTGTAAAGGTACTTGACAATGCAGTGAGTACACAGATGCATGAAATACTAAACAGGTTATGTAAAATATTCGAAAACCATATTTTGAAAAAAATCATTTAAACCCTTTGGCGTGAAATCTATGGAAGCTTGTTACATTAATTTGAGAAAAAAAAGTTCTGCTCTGTTTTTGGGAATGAATGAAATTACTTTGTCAGAACGTGACAGTGGCCTAGTTAAAATCTGTAAAATCACAAAACCCAGCAGCAATAAACAAAATGCAGGTACCTGCTCTCTACAAGGCTTCGTTGATTGGAAAGACTTACTGTTCGTCTTTTTAAGGAAGTAAGTAAATGCTGCTGAGACATGACTTCTTATATCCTGTTTTGTTTTGAAGTTTGTTGATGTGATTTGCATTTCATGGCCACCACAAAAATTCTGACAAAAGTTTATATGAGAGCATAAACATCGGTTCTTGATTTTCTGAATTAAGGAGATAGCCTTCCTCATAATCCCAAGAGAAGCTCTTGTGCTGCCTGTACTTTGAGAGTGTTGAAGCAAACATGTCTCATCTGTGTGTAGTTTAGACACAGCATTGTCTTCAATATCTTGGATTTGCACAAGAACCTTAGGACTTTGGGATTGAAAACTTCTGAACTTCAATATTATCATCTTTTCTCAAGTGAATGCAATGCTCTTCCATGGAAATCCTTAGTTCATTTGTTGGTATGCTTTGAGAATCATCAGGTAAAGGTGATTTAATCTGATGGAAACCAGGATTCAAGTTAGTGAACAAAAGAAAGTTTTGTGTGATTTGGTTGACCTCTTCCTTTAAAGTCACCATTTGTACAACGGCCATGCTGACAGTAGTTTTGTTGCTGCGGTGACTAAAGGCCTGCACTTGTGACTAACAAGAACACAACTCACTGTGCACTATTTTTAAGTCCAAGAGGAAGCAGCCTCACCTCTTTGATGCTCTTCATCCAGTTCTGAATGTTCTCATAGGACTTCTCGTCAGTGATGTCGTACACCAGGATGATGCCCTGACACAGAGGGGAGAGTCAGTCAAAAGGTACAGAGTGAGAACAAAGAGCCAGTGATGTCGGCCCGATTATCCAGTCTGCTTGTGCTGCAGGCGTCTCACCATGGCTCCTCTGTAGTAGGCTGTCGTAATGGTCTTGAACCTCTCCTGCCCTGCTGTGTCCCTATAAAACACACACACACACACACACACACACACACACACACACACACACACACACACACACACACACAATATAAAAAGTGCACTGAGTCACAGAGTTGTAGCTGAATGCAGACTGATGCATTTACTGTGCCTTTTACACAGAATACATGTTGCTGCAACACCGCCCTCTAATGCCATGCAGTGGCGGCCATGTGTGATGGACAATAAACCCTGTCATAAAGTCCTGATGTGGAGAACGAGGGAGGTTCCTCTTTCCTCTCCGGAAAAATACCTCTGAGACGGTTGGAAAACAGAGGAACACAACTCAACATGTCAGCTCTTACCAGACTTGTAGTTTCACTTTCTTTCCATCCACTTCAATGGTTTTCACTTTGAAGTCAATGCCTGGGAGATAACAAGAGGAGAGGAGAGGGTGCAGAGAGGAGGAGAGGGTAGAGAATGAGTTAAATACCTCAGATATGAACTAAAAACACACCCACCCAGATACACACACACACATTACAGAATATAGGTCACCCTCACTCGGGTGGGGAGTGATTCATGGTCGATTTGGACCCCCTCGGTGCACATTAAGGAAAGATGTTGCCCTCAGGCCTGCGGGACACACTGTCTGTGAGTTCTGCTTTCTTCTTCCTGCCGGACAGACAGACAGCGAGGGGCAAAGGGAGAGGGGGGGGATGTCCTGTGCAGCAAAAAAGACTGAGCATGCCAGAGAGAGAGCCATTCTTCTGGGAGCGTATAGAGATGGCAGAAAGAGATAGGAATGAGGGTGGGTGGACCTCCAGAGAGCCAAGTGAGAGAGGAATGAGATCTGAGATCAGGGGAAGAGGGGAAGAGGTTTCAGGACACAAACATTCAACAATGAGGAGAAGGAAAGAAAAACAGTTGAGGGACAAAATAAATAAGAAGAACAAATAAGGGAGAGAGAGAGCACAGACTAGTTGCGACATGAAAACTGTGGAAAAACCAGTTTGAGCAGAAGCTTGAAATTGAGGAAGAATGAAACTTCAGCAAAGGCCGTGTGAATGTTGAAGTTTGAGGGGAAGCATCAGCTGGTGCAGACATGTCCCACAGGTTCATCTCACAGGTTAACAGGCAGAGATCACACGTACCGATGGTGGAGATGTAAGTGGAGTTGAAATTGTCCTCAGCAAAGCGGATGATCAGACATGTCTTCCCCACTCCGCTGTCCCCGATGAGCAACAGTTTGTAAAGGAAATCATACTTTTTCGCCATGACTGGAGCTGCTCTCCAAAGTGACTGAGTTTGTTCAAAGATCCTCTCCACGTGTTTCCCTCTGATTCAAAGTACTTTTTAGATGTTGCCGTGAAGACTGGATCCTCTTCTTCTTTTTTCTCTCTCTCTCCCAGATTTGTCACCGGTAAATTCCGACCCCCCCCCTTCACTGCTTCTGTCTGCTGAAAGAAACAAACTCCATCCAAAGTTGATCAATCTACCGCAGATCAGACCTCATCGTCCTCGGATCGACTCCAGATTCATTCCACAGCTCCCACACACTCACTTTGGCTCCATTTATAAAAATACACCAGGGTGGCGACGTGTTTTTTTCAGCCTCCAACTTTTTCTCTCGGCCCAGATCCCGGATCCGCACAGAGGCTACGTAGTGAGGGAGTGCTTCGTGGGAGTTTAATGGCCCAGGCCCCCCGCTTTAACACTAGGTGGCGCTGTTTGATCAGGAAATTAACGATAATAATAAACATCAGGGACTGAAGCAGCTTTTCTGGTGTACATGTTCATGATCACCACAGGAACAAGTTAAAGCTGCTGTCCTTATTGGAAACTTTAATTAGAAGTAATATAAACCAGTGGAGGGGTTCCATTCTGAGTGATGATGATTGTGGGGTGATTTTTCGTAAATCATATATCAGTAAAATATGATCATATATACAGTATGTATATCATCATTATAGATAATAAGCATTTTCACCACTGGGGTTGCAGGCTCTGCTCATAGAAACTGATTTTGGCATGAACATGAAGTGACAAGAAAATAAACCAAGTGGAATTTGAATCTACAACACAACACTGCACTGGTCACGTCCCTCTATTTATACTATTTGCACTATTTCTAATAGAAAATAACTTTTTGCACATTTGTTTGTGTACAGACCTTTTGCTGTAACAACTGGATTTCCCTGGTCTGTGGATCAATCAAGTTTTATCTTACCTTACTTCTTATTTATGGTGAATAGGACACCCCAGGTCACATATGATGTCATCATCATCATCAGCCAATTAACTCTTACTAAGAGACCTTCAACACAAAATATATAAAAAACTATTTTAATTAGTCTCAATAGTTTCTTTTTAAATAGTTGTATTGAATTTCTTACAAACAAATGGACGCAGAACTTCAGGCTTCACAACATGAAGTAAAAATAAATACATATAATGATAAACTGTCAAAATACAAACCTAATACATGATAATCAGAATAAGTTGTTAATAATAATAATGAAAATATTCTGAAAAATGATTTTATCTTCTCCGGGGTTTTCAGTCCTCCAACAGTTTCCGGTTCGTCACCGAGAGGTTTTCTCTGCACTTCCGGTGAGTGTCCACATCGCACGCAGTCATGCCTGTAAGTATCACCACGTGTTCCCACGTTGCTGTCTGACCGCATTAAGTGTTTCTAACGGAGATAAGTTGGTGTGATGGTAAAGTGTGTTTAGATTGTGTTGATGTAGTTGCGATGTAAATACAAAGATGTGAAGACGGACACAACAAATATGGCGAAACACGTGCACAGCCCACGCGGCTCCATGTGTCCGCGCTCAGCACCGGATTTAAAATCAATCTGAGGGATTTTAACACCGACGTTAATGTTGTTATAAATTAAACCTGCGCTGTGGTTTAATCTGGCATCGAACATCTGCTCAGATTATTTAGTTTGAGCGATTGTTTCCGCGTTTCGCTTTCTCACCATCAGCCATGTTGTTTTTTCCGCTAAACTCAACTTTCTAAAATCTCTGATCTCCTGATCACTGTAGTTGCTCTAAAATATATTGTCCTTCTAATGGAAACATGTGCACTCCTGTAATCTTGCTGTTAAGTGTCTTACTTTAACTTTATTCTGATTTCTAATTTATTTGATCAACATTTAAGACTTGAATCAAGGTGTGGTTTTACAATCTGAGTGGAGATAAAAAGAAACACTTGATCAACAAAACGTTTTGCAAATCAATGACTACATAAGCATAACCTTGATTTAAAACAGATTATCGTTATTGCTCTTGATAAGATTAATACTGTGTTGAGTCTGGATGTTGTTTTATTTCCCAGCCCTGCTTTATTACAAATAAGAAGTAAAATTCAACACAGTCTGAATAATCTTAAAACGTTAAAACCAACTGATATCATGTTCGATTTCCTCTCAGCTCGCAAAGGATCTGTTGAACCCGAGTCCCGAGGTGGAAAAGAGGAGACACAAGAAGAAACGTCTTGTGCAGAGTCCTAATTCATATTTTATGGATGTCAAATGTCCAGGTAAGTTTGTTTCATTGGTGGCATTTACAAACTCTCAGGTTCAGATCATAGTCGTACAACAATGTCCCTAAACTAAACCATCAAATCATTCCCTCTGGTGTATTCTTGATCACCCTCCTTGTGCGTCTTGGATTGAGTTGCTGTGATTCAGACCACGAAGCCCTCAGTGATAGTGATCTTATAGTTTGCAACACATTTACCTCAGACATCATCAGGTCATTCTTAAGTCCTCCTCACCAGACATCACTAAGGCCTCTGCTGCCACAGCCGGGCAGGTTTTCTGCTGTACACCGTTCACTCTAGTTTCCTTATGACTACGTTTACATGGACACAATAATCAGACTCTTGACCCTATTCTGACGTTACTCTTGACCATGTTTACTTGAGAAGCCAATAAAAAAAATTCCTTTGGAACATTAAGTCCACTAGGTTTTATAACCCAAACCGAAAATAGTTTAATCCATGATGCTGTTGTTTAGCCTCTTTCACCAAAGTTTCCTTATTTGGTTTACATGGCAGTGTCTTATTCAGACTACTGGCTTAATATATCTCAATACTGGTATCCATGTAAGTGTGTCTTATGTTTCCGATCTTGCTAATCTTCAGGTCACATGGACCAGGCTATAAAAAGTTTTGAAAATCAGCAGTTTTAAAAAAGGAGTTGAATAATTGCTGGTAACAAACTCAAGAATACATCAATCATTTTCTTGACTTGCTGCATCATTCAACTGGAAGACTTGGTTTAAATCTTGGTAAAAGATATAAATCATTGTGGTTGTTGGTGCGTTGCCTTTATGTGTTGCCCTTTCATTATTCCCGTAGTGATTGGGGTGTCAAACAAGGCAAACAGGGACACTTGTGGTTGTCTGTAAAATGAGCTTCCAGTGACTCCTTTAAACAAACAGCTGCAAGGACACTCTGATACATTCAGTACATTTCATTATGTAACAGCTATAAAGAGTTAGGCTGCCTGTTTTGTCTCTTCTATAGCAGCTTCATGGCCTCATTAATGAATTGAGTGTTGATGTGCTGTTTGCAGGCTGCTACAAGATCACCACAGTGTTCAGCCACGCTCAGACTGTGGTGCTGTGTGTCGGCTGTTCCACGGTCCTCTGCCAGCCCACGGGGGGGAAAGCTCGACTGACAGAAGGTAGAGGACACTGTTAAAATCTTATGCATCTTAAACATACACGTGACAATGCAAATCAGTTTTAGGGCCGTCACTCTCTACTCCAACATTCATTGGAACGTGGCAGGAAAAGATCATATTCACACTGTGATGGCCTGTTGATTGAAATATAATCTTCAGAAGCAGTTTGCCTTGGCATCCAGCAGAGGGCACTCACTGTCTGCTTGATATATTGCGTGCCCTTTTGACCTATAGGTGAGGACAGCTATTAATGTAGTTTTGCTATGAAAATGGAGGATGCTGAGTGGACAATCAGGACACCAATGATTATGAGAAGCAGCTTGTGGACATGTTTTGATTTCTACATTGTAGTTCACGAACAAAATTAAGGCCGCTTGTTGTCTTCATACAACTGATTCACTCGTCAATATTTACAACACACTGGTTTTGTCTGTAAAATGGCAGAACTTCTAACCTCGAACACACACCCGTATCTCCGCCTTTGTGTTGCCCTCTCATTGTGCTCTTCATGAACAGGGTGTCTACTAAGGCGTACAGCGACTCTTGTGGTTGTGACAGAAATTCATCCTCAATGATCCATTTCTACACAATCAACCACAAGCACAACTCAAACACGTCTCCATTCACAAAGTCGCGTCGTCAGACTTCTTGGAACGAGTGCGTCCGGAAATAATTTCAGGCGAAAAGTTAATCTGCTGCTTGTGATGAACCCTCTAGTAAAATATGGTGACAACTACTTCACCAGTCAAAGTACACTGAAGAAACGATGATGCGTCGCACCACCCACTCTATCCTCTGCTGCCGTGGTAACCAAGGGCTTGTGAGTGTGCTCTGCTCGAGTTACTATGGGTGCAGCTGTAACCCTCGGCACTGACGCTGCACTTGTTTGGAAGTGATTCAGTCTTTGAAAAGGCCGAAAGCTCCACGAGTTTTATCAGCCTGATCTGTTAGATCCAGTTTAAAAAGCCTCCCTGCTTTACTGACTTTTAACTGTTATCTGTCTTCTGAAATAAACATCTGAAAACACATTCACTTTATCAGGGACACATCTACCAACTAATTCCACAACATCTCTCTGTCTGCATACGGAACAAAAATCTCACTAACGAAAAAAAGTCGAAGTCCACTGAGGAGAATTTTTCAGCTCTTTTAGTTGCATCTAATGAGCTTCAACAGTTTTATAGAAGTGATTATTCAACTTGGTGGCTTTGCACATAATTGATGGTTCTGTTCAACTGTATTTAAAGGAAAATATCAGCGAATGAAAGCTTCGTCAGTTTTGTAAAGTACTGCCACCAGTTTCTGCTCAAAACAAGACATTTGTGCCTGGTGAAATTCTAATGAGCGTTTCCATCATTTTCAGATTTTATGATTAATCCGTGTCTGATTCTCCCCCTCAGGCTGTTCATTCAGAAGGAAACAGCACTAGTTGGACACCATTGAGGAGGAGAATGATGAAAACTTGATGGACTTCAAGTATCACTGCCACGGAGCTGATGCAGCAATCAGGGAATGGAGAGCGGGGATACAAATCATTTCTATTGTCAGAAATGTTTGGTCTTGTTTTCGACCCCATCACTACCACAAATCCAATTCTTACTGCTTAATAAACTTAGGGTTAGGGATAAAATAATCCTGCACGTTTGTCATCCATTTTTGTTTTGAAATCACTTGATGGCTCTTAAATTGTCTGGTCAACATCAGGCCACAAATCTTCACTCTGCACAGCTGAATATCTGTGTGTTAGAGCTGGGAACAAATTCAGACACTAACACATACATATACCAAGTTATTGCCACTGTGAAGTGAACATTTAAGAGACAATGATTTTATCTGTGCCTGCTTCAAAGCCAGTGGTGTGGGTGCAGGGCAGGGCGTCCTGCTCTGCCTGAACGAGGCTCGATTCAGAGAAACACACTTCCTGTGTTTCCTGCTGCTTGTAAAACAGTGTTGTGACACTACATGGAATCACAATGAACATCCATTATGGCTGTGAATTTTTCTGTGCTTGCGAGCTTCCTGTGAAAATGTTAATGCAGAATAAATTCTGGTGGAGTTGGGGAAAAGTGGGAGTAGGAACATGTAGAGGAATCACACTAGTTTAAAAATTTGTGACCCATAATTTTTCCTCAGCCTTTGTTTGGGGTTATGATCGTGTTCTTCTTATAGCAATGAGTTGTACACTGAATAAAGACGAATCAGAAGAGGGAATGATTCAATGACAACTTCCTCTTGCTATAGTGATATTCTTATTGTGTCTTGCTTACATATTGGACACAGCTTGCAAATAAAGTCATGGGAAAGATTCAATTCTGAATGGCCTGAGTGATGAATACATGATAAAAATGTTTTAAAGGATTAAAAGTCTTTTCCTACAGTTACTACTTTGTACATTATTTAAACATTCTCATTTACACAAACAGATGATTTTGTGAAGTACAAAAGCAGCAGTGGTGTTAGTTTTGGGACAGCTGGTAAAACAAAGTTTACAGGTAAAATAAAAAGCAGGCATGTTGGTAACAACCTGCCTAGTTTGACTTCCACCAGGGAGACTATATTTTCATCTGTATTATAAAACTACTGGATTACATAAAACTTGATGGAAGGATCAGGTTCAGGTCAGAAAAGAATCAATCGACTTACTGTGAACCAGGATCAGGTGGTGGATCCAGGAATTAGTTTTCACTTTCATTAATTTCTCAGATAATTAATTTATGGATCTTGATAAAAATCAGATATGTTTACTGGACTGACATAAATGCGTGCAATTATGTGCAGATCCAGATAGAACGGGACTGTTGGGCCTTTTTGGAAGAATGTGCTCTCAGTGCCATTCTAGTAATCTGCATTGATTTTAAACTTTTAAAGTAATAAATGGCCTAGATCCTAACTACATCAATGACTATGTGGCTGGGTGTGAACTCAGACCTGTAAATGGGGCTCTGCTGGTTATTCCTGGCTGCTGACAAACAGTGTGACCACTGACCGGGCTCATAACTGGATCAGTTGATCCGTTGGTATCAGACCAGCAACATCCTTAGTGTTTTTTAAATCTTTTAATCCTTTTTAATGACAAAGCTTTTATGGACATTTGACATTTATTGTGTTTTCTATTTGTGTTAACTTAATTTATCTGTTTTATGAACCGATCACCTTTCTCTTGTTTTGTTTGCTGCCCTGTATTTGAAACACTTTGTTACTTTACAAACTGGTCACAAAGTTGATAAATTAGTGTACAGACACATATATACATAGCCAAATATATATTATCCCACAGACTCACACACACACACACTGCACACACCCCTCTGTGAGTGAGGGTCACCGTGATGGATGCTATTCCTGAATGGCCGTGAGCGTTTAAAGCCTGGTGAACTGGTAAAACCATCAGTCATGTCAGTTCTTCACAGCTTGAAATAAATCATCGCTGGCTCTATGATCATGTCCTGCATTAATTATTCTGACCATGTAGCTTAAATAGACGTCTTGGCAGTGTGTGTGTGTGTGTCTGTGTCTGTGTGTGTGTGTCGGCACCATGGGAGAAAGAACACTTTAAAGGAAAGACTGGAATCACTGTGAAGAATTAGAGGCTGTTAAAGTGCACCTCCTGTTGGTCAAACTCAGTTAACTGCAGCTGTACACCCCCCGACTGCACAGTTGAATGCAATATTTCCACACGGCCAAATAGTCTCTTTATGAAACCACATCTAAATTCTCTAGATCCACATTTTATTTTGGATCTGCAGAAAATGGCAGATTGCATAATACCAGTCCTCTAAACATGGCAGAATTTATTTCATCAAGATCCTGAGGAATCAATGACTGTGTTGAATGGGTTCCCTGACAATACCACGTCCTTCAAACAGGTTTCGGGGAAACTCCATCCAGTAGCTTTCATGTAATACTGCTGAATAAAAAAACATCAACCTCCTTGGTGGAGGTAATGAGTGGGTAAATACTGAATCATTTTCTGATGCAGTTGTTCTTGGTGGGAAACTCATTAAAGTGCCAAAATATTTGTTCAGCTACTTTCGGAAGTCAGTGAACGGAGTGATTGAAGGAAATGAGCTGAGGGGAGAAAACAGTGTGGCAGAGACGATGTAAACACAGGCTGTTGGAGGCACAGAGAGTGGTTGAGCACACAGCTTTGTGTTGGCTAATTGAAGACTAGCTCCTAATGGAGGAGACAGATAATGTGTTAGGACTCCTCTCAGTAGTTTGCTCAGAGGAAGAGCCTCAGTATGTGTAAATACATCATCATCAGCCAGATGCCACTCAGTTATTTTGAAAGTGGTTTCTGAGTGTGTTTACAGGCAAGTGGTTAATGGATGATTCTCCCTGTCAGAAAATGTCTGCATTAAGAAAATTACATTTGATGAGTTTGCATATCTGAAGTCTGTGTTTGGGCAATAATTTATAAAGGGTGTGTTTTGAAAGTATGGAGGCACAATACATGCAATAGTTGCAAATGTGTGCTGTGGTGCATAATACAGGACTGATAGATATGTTCCAAGGTCAGTTTACCTCCATTCATTCATCTGTCCAATCTGTTTGCCCTTCATTGTCTGCACACATGCGTTTTTTAAACGTCAGATTTTTCTGTGAGGGACTCAAACACTTTCAAACATCTGGACTTTGCGACTCCCTGTGCAGTCATGCTTCCTAATTTATTCATCTTAGTGAGGACACTCATTTGCATACTGCATTTCATAATCCCTTACCCTAACCTTAACCATCACAACTAATGGCCTAACTCAGCGAGCCCGTGCCCCTCATAACACTCATCCAGAGAGCTGTGTTTTAACCCCAATCCAACCAAACCACAACCTAAACTTGATTCTAGACCTAAAAGCAATTCTTAACCTGCAAACAGCTTCTCTGAAGAAATCAGGACGGACCCAAATATCCACACACAGACACACACACACACACAGCAAGCAATTTACAGGCTCCAGTCCACCTGACCTACATTCCTCAGGAAAGTGAGAGAGCACAAGAGCCACACATACAGACAGACAACAAAATATCAGGGGGCACAGACACGCAAATACCATTGTTATATGTGTAACACGTGTTGCATCACAACATTCAATAGTCGCTCAACATCGTTGTTAGCTGTCAGATTAATGAAAGAGACACCATGCACATAATGCATGTTTAAAATCAACCTAAAGAAAAATCAATACAGTGATCAATGCAGTGCACTAAACCACAACAAAATTAAATGAAAACCAATTCCCCTTCACTGTGACCACTGTAGCTTCAGTGCAGTATGGAATAACCACACATGAAATCTGTAGAGGATTTTACACTGATTTCTTTCATATTACATCATGTGGCACAAAATCAATTTGACTAGAATTTTCCAATTTGGTGAAAACAAGTCTATTCCTGTTGGAATCACCCAATCAACAGCTTTCTCTAAGCTCATTAAAAGTAAACAGTCAGTGCGAAGGACACGCTGATTACTAATCAACACTGTCACAAGTGCAAGTGTGTGTGTGTGACTCCCCTAGCTTGGAATCCATAGCCCCTGTAAGGAAACTCCCCTCTTATACAGACAGATGGTTGCTATGGAAACCAACATCAGTTTTCAGGCTAGCAACTGGGGAGAGATGGATGGAGGTAGAGGGAGGGGGGGTGTTAAAAGCACAGAGTTCAAAAGAATATGAAATTCTAATGTAATCCAGTCTGTGTGTGTTTGCGCGCACACGTCTCAGCGTCTGTCTGTGAGTGTGATAAGAGGCAGAAGGTGCAGCGCTGGCAGCAGGGAGGCAAGATAGAAAAGAGCATGAGAAATTAAAGTGAATGAAGGAAGGTGCTGTGCTGGTGAGGCACTGGGACTGAGGACAGGGTTGAGACCAGATGGAGGAGGAGGGACAGAGACAATAATGCTACGGGCTAATTTCAGCCTCTTCTCCTTGATTCCTGATGGTTTGGGGCCAGAATTATAAGACAAACACCAGCTACTGGACATACACACATGCATAATTTGAATATAATGATGTCTAGAGACGTATGTGGAGAAGGACCACAATGATAAAAATACCTAATTTGTCTTGAACCAAAAACTCGGCTCCCACCTGGATGCTGGAACCAGATAACGCTGCTGTCATGCTGCTGACCTCTCCAGAGCTCTAACTGGCTCTCCACCTTTAAATCATTCCACACCTCCCTCCATAGGCCAGAGGACACAACTTGGGACATTCCCTTAGATACAATGAAACGTGATGAAAGAAATTGATCACCATGTGTTTAAAAAACAGTATGAAGTGGGAATTAAATGTATTTGTGGCCCTGTGTCCTGACTGTGAGCATCACATGCAGGGTAGGTACAGATTGCCGAGTTATGTCAGAGGAAGTGGCAACGGTCCTGTCACCTGTCAGGAGAGGAAGCAAAGCACAACTCCCCTGTGGTGTCATTAAAAACCCCAGTGTCTCTCTCTCTCCATCCCAATTCAACAGCCTGAAAAATAGGTCAATTAACAACCTCTGCTGTATTACTCCCTCTGCCTCTCGCACACACAGACAGGCATGTCCCTTGTATGCAGCCTGAGGATAGTGTGGGCGGCCGATGTTGCCATGGAGTTTATATTGTACTGGTTCGGCTTCTGCGGTGATGGTGACAAGGGTTTGTGTTGATGATGATGATGATTCCCATTCTGCATTCTGAAGTGTCCTTGGGCAAGATTCTGGGCCCCAAATTGCCCCTGATGGCTGTGGGTGATGTGTGATGGAGAAAGTGCTTCCCGTAGACCTACTGTATGAATTTGTGTATGAATGAGTGAATGGGAAGACTGTACTGTAAATTGCTTGAGTGGTCATCAAGACTAGAAAAGCACTATAGAAATACAGATAATAATAATAATACTATTGATAAAAATAATAAATGACTGCAGGAAAGTCAGGGTGTGCCATGGATCTTAATGCCCAAGAAGCTGACTGCACTCTAAAGCTTGAATGGATCAGGTGGATATTAAAGAACCTGTAATCCGATCTGTTTTACCAACACACACATTAAATGCATTGCTTCCATGACTGTGTATGTGTTATAATCCAAATAAAGTCTCTAATGGACTGAGCATAAAGAACATTAATAAGAACAGAGAAGCCTTAAAGTGTATTGCTATAAGCTCTTAAGCCATATAGTGTGTGTGTGTGTGTGTGTGTTTGTGTGTGTGTGTGTGTGTGTGCGCTGCCCCTATACATGAAGGTGTACATGAAATGAAAATGTCTACAGAGGAAGGAGGAGTTGGCAGTAAGTGAAGGATGATGATGTGCTTTCACATCTCTCTGACTTAATGCAAAAT